AGGTGCGTTCATTTGCATTTGTGCAATATATAAACAGTATGTATGCATTTGTGCAATATATAAACAGTATGTATGCATTTGTGCAATATATAAACAGTATGTATGCATTTGTGCAATATATAAACAGTATGTGTGCATTTGTGCAATATATAAACAGTATGTGTGCATTTGTGCAATATATAAACAGTATGTGTGCATTTGTGCAATATATAAACAGTATGTGTGCATTTGTGCAATGTATAAACAGTAAGTGTGCATTTGTGCAATATACTGTATAAACAGTATGTGTGCATTTGTGCAATATACTGTATAAACAGTAAGTGTGCATTTGTGCAATATACTGTATAAACAGTATGTGTGCATTTGTGCAATATATAAACAGTATGTGTGCATTTGTGCAATTTATAAACAGTATGCGTGTATTTGTGCAATACTGTATATAAACAGTATGTGTGCACTTGTGCATTGTGCAACACCATGTGAGCAAAACAGTGAACAGGTAGATGAGATACAGTTAAAGGAGCGTTTGGTCAGCAGCTGAGCAGATTAAAACAAAATAAGTCTGAGCAGGTAGAWGAGATTGTAAGTCAGACTTGGTTATTTATRCAGTGTTCATAAGTCTGAYGGCGGTGGGGAAGAAGCTGTCACGGAACCTCACTAAGCTTTCTTAAATAACATTTCAATGTTATTACAAATAAAATAATGACTGGAAAAAATGATAATTTAAAACTCTCAGACGTAATTTCTTTCTTTCACATTTTTCTTTTCTTCTCCTCCCTCTAGCTTTCTGATGCCCCACTAGCGCCCCCTGGCTCTCACTTTGAAAAACCCTGCACCATACAACAATTTATTTTAATATACATTACAATTAACTACTCTGACCTCCTTCCCTGTTCATTGCCACATGACATATATTTTAATTTAACTTTTTAATTATATTTTTAAGAAATTTCTTATACATTTCAATGAAGCCAACTTTTGGGGAGCACAATAAGGATTCTAATGCACATATTGTAATGTACAATGATTGTATTTCCACAATTTTAGATTCTCTTCAATGACACCTTGTAAAATGTAGAATATATTAAAAATTTACCTTTATACTGCCCTGATATACAATTTTGAGCTTAAAAAGTATAAAAAGTCTTATCAGCTATAATGCTACTCCTAATTTCATAGAGGTTTCAGGAATTTTCAGCCTTTGCGGTGTACCCTCTGGTGGCAAAACAGATTTTGTGGCTGCTTCTGCATATCCCTGTAAACCAAGGCTATTCAACTGGCGGCTCGTGGGCCAATTCCAGCCCGCGAGTGACCAAAATTTGGCTCGCCAATTGGTTCATTCATCTCTTAAGCCCAAACCCCCAGTTTTCTACTTTAAATAGTTAAGTTCTTTTAGTTAGACATAGACATGTTTGGCATCTACAGAAAAGTCAGAACCTTGGCTAGAAGCTGGTAAAAACCATTTTTATAAACACTCAAGATAGTTAAAACTACAAGCAATTGAAGATAGAACTATGAAAGTGAAAATAAAATTGGTTTAAACATTTGGCAAGTCAGAGATGTCAAAAAATATTTGTGTCAAATAGGAGCAAAATGTGTTCTTTTTGTTTATGATATTGTTTAATTATCTCTATCTCTACTTTTATAGAGGTCTGTATCTTGTATTCATGATTAAATGTAGCATAATAAATATTTCAAAGGTAACAGATCTTTGTAATACTTGGTTTATTTACATAATGACTTCAGCTGTTGACCTGTGGTAACTGTGGCCCCCGGAGCAGTTTAGTTGAATAGTCCTGCTGTAAACGGTCCACTCTTCTCCCAGAGCAGAAGCTGGTTGGTAAATGGACAGCTTTGAGGAGCATCTTGTCTGGCCCCATTGAGCATACAAACCTGCAACTGACGTCCATGTCTTTTCAAMTCCGTGGTTAACAAGAAAAAACAAACGGTTGGCCTCCTCAGCGACACAACTCATATAAATTGTGGTAGTACATTAGCAGAAATCGGTCAAAATTTACTGACATATATGTGACGCCCCAAGTTTAAAAATCATTTTTGAGGTTAATTTTTTAGAATTTTACACTCAAAATTACAGTGACATTTTTTTGTGAATTAGTGCCATTTAAATCCACTGCATTAAACTGAATTGATCTTTTTGTGTTAGTCACAAATAACTGTCTTATCTATAGTTTACAAGTGTAAAAAACACTTTTTTAAAATTAATTCCATTTTTACAGATAAGTTCAAAAATGATAGGATATGTTTTTTAAAAGCAGAACTAATTGTCCTTAGATTTTTGCCCTGAGTCAACCTAAACTTTATTGAATTTTAACAGCTATTGGACTTGTTATTAACTCCTAAGAAGGACATTAGATTTTAGCTCACACTTCTTTGCACAAATAAACTATGCAGTATCAATCAGTCCCTAAGCAGTACTTGGATCATTGTACATACTAATCTCACTCGTCTCATTTTTCCTCCACCGTTGATGTTGGTAAGCTCTTTAAACCACAGGCCATGACTCCAACCTGGCCGCAGGTCTATTTCTGCCAGCTTCCTGCATGACAGGATTTGTATTTATTAGGCTTTAATGAGAGCAGGTCTCACACAGAGCCGCTCTGCAAATCACAAAAATTATGGACTGAGCTTTATTCTAATACAAAACAATTACTGTCTGAAAAATGAGGCTGTATCCAAGATATTTTTGCTGGTAAAATAATGCCAAAAAATAATCACAGAATAGTGATTTAATTGACAACTGCACAGATGGAATAATTATGAGAGCTTTTGTTATAAGATATGAATTGTTTTTGATTGTTGGATGGTAAGAAAATATTCTAGCAATAGTTTAATACTTTAAAGTCAGGTTTTGTGGAATAATTACAATCAATTCATATCTTATTTGTTGCATGTATTTGTGACATGTGAGCTTGATTATTGCAATGCCATTTTAGCTGGGCGTCCAATTATCTCTTCTAAAATCCTCCAATCGATCCAGAATACTGCAGCAGAAGTTCTGACAGGAGCAATAGAAAAGGAAAACATTTCTCCTGTTTTAGCTTCATTACACTGGCTGCCTGTAACGTTTTAAATACATTTTAGGATTCTTCTCAATTGATCCAAAGTCGTAAAAGGCCTAGCAGCATCTGAWTTAAAAGAGCTCTTTATTCCTTATCATCCCAAAAGAACTCTCAGCTCTCAGATTTAYTTTTTGTAAGAACCTGCAAAGAGACAAGAGGGGAGAGCTTTGAGTTTCCCCTCTGCTCTGGCAGCAGTTTGTGTGCGGGATACTCACTCACTCTCTGTTTTTAAGGCTAAACTCAAAACCTGACCAAAGACCAAAATGAAAGGCTGCCATATCTTAAAACAAATGCAAAATTTTCTATTTCAATTTCACATTACTGGATTATTTATATGAATTCTATGGATATTTAAAGCATGAATAGTTTGGCAGCTAACTGTACCACATCTTGAGGCAGGCTGGTGCATTACAGGTGCATAACTATTGATTGCAAAGATGACAGAAGCTTAAAATTTGTAAATTTGCATTTCCACTGACTACTATGAAATTGATGAGATTAGAGCTGTTTAAAGGGATCCCCGATTAGTTGTAACATTAGACTTTATATGATAAACATATACTTTAACTGTAAAATAAAGACTGTAAAAAACTGTAGGCTGTTCAGTTTTTATAATTTTTAAACTAAAAGTTAAAAAAATTATTACATGGACGGGGCCATTTTATTTACATGCAAAGCATTCTGTGTAAATTATGACATCAACTAGGTAATCGGTGCGAGGCTG